AAGAAATAGCAAATCTATTTAAACAGCACTATAGCCAGACATTCTTCATTGAAAACATATAAATCTATTTTCCTTGAGAAAAAGAATGAAATTTTAGTTGGCTGGGCACAGTGGCTCCTGCCTGTAATCCCAGCACTTTGGGAGGCCAAGGCAGGTGGATCATTTGAGGTCAGGAGTTCAAGACCAGCCTGGCCAACATGGTGAAACCCTGTTTCTACTAAAATACAAAAAATTAGCTGGACGTTGTGGTAGGCGCCTGTAATCCCGGCTACCTGGGAGGTTGAAGCAGGAGAATTGCTTGAATCCGGTAGGCAGAGGTTGCAATGAGCAGAGATCACACCATTGCACTCCAGCCTGGGCAACAAAGGCAAAACCCCTCTCAAAAAAAAAAAAAAAAAAAAGAAATTTTAGTTAATTAGTTAATATTTGCACTAGATGGTATCTTATTTTTTGTCATCCATCATTTCCGTTAAACACTCTGCTACATTCTACGCTGTTGACTTTTCCTGCCAGCTTAAAACATCCCTTCCTTGGATCCTTGGGCATAATTATCCCAATTCTCATTTGATATTCTGGGTCGGTTTCTTGTCTCCAACATTAGAGGAAAACCCTAACACTCTTACCTCTGCTGTACTAAATATGTATTCTTTCATTCTGCAGGAACACTAAATGATAGCCTTAGCCCCTCTATGCCGGTAACTCTTAAAATATACCTCTAACCATATATCTTTTCTTCCTGCAAGGTAGATGCTGCTTGATATCACACCAAATGGTTTCTTATGGAATTTCCTTTTCCTCTAAATTACCCTACATTTGTTAATAATAAAATCTTTCCCTTGGTATGTCAGGCTCTATACCTTCGAAGTTATCCTTGGCTCCTTCACTTGCCTGACATCTGGACTTAGGCTGTCATCCTTTCTGCTCCCTCACATAACTATTCTTTCTTTCCTATTTCTAATTCTACTATATTAGCCAATGCTCATATGCTCTTATGACCTTATACCATGTCTATAAGGAATAATCTAACTCCATATTTTTCACACTGAGAATCCAAGACTTAATAAAGTCTGTAAAATTTTTTTCAAATTTTGTTTTAATGCTAATTTAAAATGTTAATGTAAGTGTATTCTGTATCATGAAACTACCACAGCCTCTTTTGCATTTGTCATCATAGACGGATGCCCCCACAAATTACTTTAAACATAGAAGTCAAAGAAAAAAGAACAGATGGGGTACAGTGACTCACTCCTGTAATCTCAGCACTTTGGGAGGCTGAGGCAGCCCAGGAGTTTGAGACCAATCTGAACAACATGGCAAAACCCCATGTCTACCAAAAAAAAAAAAAAAAAAAATAGCTGGGTGTAGTAGCAGGTGCCATCCCTTAGGGCCAACTAATGGGCTAGTGGAGGGTCACTGAGGCAGGACAATTGCTTGAGCATGGGAGGCAGAGGCTGCAGTGAGTCATGATCATGCCACTGCATTTCAGCCTGGGCAACAAAATGAGACCCTGTCTCAAAAAAGAAAGAAAGAGAGAGAGAGAAACAGAGAGAGAGAGAGAGAGAGAGAGAGAGAGAGAGAGAAAGAAGGAAGGGAAGGAGGGAGGGAGGGAAGGAATAGAAAAGAGAAAAAAGAACAGAGACAATCTTCATATATAAATGATAAGCTCTTGACAAGTGAATACCAAATGTCACAGCAAGCTATGAACGAAAATTTCGGGGTATTTCTAATAGAGCAAAGTGGTAAGAGAATCAAGTCATCATTAAAGGATAGATATACAGAACTCAGAAAAGAACCTGCAGCTGTCAGAGTGGCCAATAGGGAGTTAGTGTTTAATACGTATGGTGTTTCAGTTTGGGGTGATGAAAAAGTTCTAAAGATGGGCAATGGTGATGGTTGCACAACAATGTGCATGTGTTTAATGCCACTGAGCTATACACTTAAAAATGGTTAAAATTGGCCAGGCGCAGTCGCTAACACCTGTAATTCCAGTATTTTGGGAGACCAAGGCAGGTGGATCACGAGGTCAGGAGTTCAAGACCACCCTGACCAACATGATGAAACCCTATCTCTACTAAAAATACAAAAATTAGCTGGGCATGGTGGCGTGTGCTTGTAATTCCAGCTACTCAAGAGGCTGAGGTAAGAGCATCGCTTGAACCTGGGAGGCGAAGGTTGCAGTAAGCAGAGATCACTCCACTGCACTCCTGCCTGGGCGACAGAGCAAGACTCCGTCTCAAAAAAAAAAAAAAAAAAAAAAAAAAAAAAAGTAAATCTTATGTATATTTTGCCACAAAAAGAAACTCTGCATATTCTTATTCATAGCAGCTATTTAGTTTGAGCAAAATATTGATGTATTTCAACTAATTATGTTAGTTTGAGTTAATTTGGGTTCGTTTGAATTTTATTCACTTTGTGGTTTTATTATTTGTAAGTTTGTCTCATTGGATAAAAATTTTTTGTAAAAATCAGGAGTACGCAAGAAGCTTTTCTCCTTTAAAAAGAATTTATACATGAGTTTCAAGGTCAATAGTCTACTAATCAGTGCTAGTTACTATTATAAGGCAAGTACTCTTCTAAATGAATTACATATATTAACTCAATTAGTCCTCACAGCAACCCAAAAACTTGGGTATAATTTTACCAAGGAGAAAACTGAAGCATGAAAAGGGGAGCTTATTTAACCAAGATCACCCAGCCAACAGCAGAAACAGGATTTGAAGGTAGGCAACTGGGCTCCACAGTGTGGATACATGGATATAGCTGAATAATTTATCTCCAATTTTCCTACCTCCAGTCCATCCAACCACTTATAATCACTCTAAAAAACAGCTTAGTACATAGGTCCCTATCTTCCTTCTCCGCTATAGTGAAAAGAAACCTCATGTTAAATCCAAACACCCTGGACTGACATTTAATGTCTCTCACAATCTGGACTCTTTCCAACATAACCACTGAGAAGTCCCAGATTATATAAATAAAATCCTACCCCATCCCCAGTCAACCGAACCGACTCCTTCTTGGCCAAGGCAAACCCCAAAGAAACCTTAGAAACTCAGTTCTCAACCAAGATAGGATGGGAGGTCAGACACACCTCATTATACCCTTTCTCATTTGGGGTTTAGACACAACTCACCAGCATTAATGTTAAAATAGAGATAGTAAGAGTTGCAGAACAGACTCTGTGGCAATAAGCTACCAAATGATAAACAAGACCTAAGGCCATGCCAGGCACACACCACCTCCACTTAAAAGAATGAACTATGTTCTAACTGCCAGAGTTTTTTTTTTTCCTCTAGTGGCTAAATAAGCACTGGCCTCCAGATAAGCAATATAAAAATAATTGCAGTTCATCCACAACCGGATGCTAACTGACTCCTCTGTTCCACAGCTCTGATAGGACAAGAGACTTCCAAAATTTTCTTCTGATAAGATCACCAACCATGGACTCTAACTCGTTTACGAAGGCTGTGTGCTTAAATACCTTTGCTTCCCTCCTTCACCTTTCTTCGTACAGGGCCTAATTGTAATGCATTTAAATCTTAAGTCTGCTCCCAAAATGAACATGAGATGCATGTAACATGCATGTTTATTCAGTACGCGTGAGCACATCTCCCTTCATGAATATTCATAGCTCCTCCTATGACCTGTTGAATATGTATACTCAGCCCACTCATCCAGCATAAATCCCTGCCCCAACCCCACCTCCTTCAAAGTGCCTGCCTTTCTGCTTTGGCTGAAGCTACGGTTCCCAGCTTGTCAGTATGGCCACTTTGCAGGCTGTAACCCTTCAGAAGAAATAATCTCTTTAAATTTGCAGAGCTCATGATCTTTCAATTTACACTACTCTACCACATGGACTAACAAAATCTTGTCGCCAGTAAAGAAACCACTTTTCTCCAGTTCTTAAACTTCAAAATGTGCAAACAAATCATCTGTCAGGGCAGGGTATCTTTTTTAAATGCAGATTCTGATTCAGTAGGTCAGGATGTCACTCTAATAAACTGCCAGGTAATGTTAAAGCCTCCCATCTGTGGAGCACACCCCAATTAGCAAGGGTCTCTAATACATTTACTCTCATTTGTGGAGGTGCAGGTGTGTGCCCTGTTCACCTGTTTCCTCTCCCTTTTACCAGTCACAGGTTCCTCTACTTTCATGACCGAATACCGACATTTTCTGTAGATCTCCTTCTCCTCCCTATTTTCTACCAATCCTTCTCCGGTTAGCTCAGGAAAATCTCATTCTCTCTGCATGAATGTCAAATTAGTCTTGACTCAAAACATGAAGACAGTTAATTTCAGGTAAATTCTATGTTTGAGATGATGACACATAATTAGGTTTTCTCTCCCTCTCCTTCAAAAAACGAAAACTGCCTGGACTTTGGAGTTAGATTTTTGGGTCCCAATCCATCTCTGACAATTCCTTTCTCTGGAACCTTGGACAAGCTACCTAACTTCTCTGTGCCTCAGTTTCTTCAACTATAAAACATGGCTAACAACAGCACCTACCTCAGAGGAATGTCAAATTCTCCTACAGGCTATATTAACTATTTTTCTTTGTATCAACTTACCATTTTACCAAGTTATTTTTAAAGGAATTTTTATGGCATTATCGTAAACAAAAAGTCAGTATCACTTGCCATGGTTAGCTGACCCATAAAAACAAATGCCATGAAACCAAACGGAGTTATTAAATCCCAACTAGAGATACCTCTGGATACTGCAGGCGGGATTACGTAGCTAGAGACATAGTCAAGACTTTCTCCTTGTCAGTCGTCCACACAGACGACTGCGATTAAACGAGTTAATGCTCTGCAGTGCGTTTACAACAGGGCGCCGTAGGTGCTGCTCCCAACTCCAGGCCATCGTCATGACAGAATCAATGCCAGTTCATGCCCACATTCTGGGGCTGGGAGTAGGACACCCGGGATGTCTGTGGAGATTCACCGGCCTGGCCTGGGAATCCTGGCCGGAGGGCTCTGGGGGACTTGGGGGGCCACGTACTGGACTCGGGACGTCTCTTCCCAGGGCGCTGGCGGGTCCTCACACGCTCGCCGCAGGGCCGCGATCTCAGCTTGCAAAGCGCGCACCTCGGCCAGCTCTGCGTCCATGGTGCGTTGCTGACCTGAGCAGCGCCGGCTGCGCCGCTGTCACTCTGACCCGCGCATTTCACCGGCGCTTCAAGCCTCCCGCGCGCTCCCGGCGCGGACCATCCCAGAGCTCACGCGGAGGGGAGGCGGGAGAGCCACGCGTGACTCCCGCGGCACTGTGCGTCCAACTCCGCGCTCGCACGAGAGCCCGGGTCCTCGACGTCCCTGCACACGTTTTTCTGGCCGTCTAAGCAGTGCCTACACTTTCGGGAGAGCGCGTTCTTTGCTACTCCAAGCCCGCTCCGCTGCCCACCCCCCGCCAGCAGCCTTGGAGCCGCCCGGCCGCGTGCGTCACTAAAGAGGCAGTGCTGGAATCACGTGGAGGGGAGTGCCTCTTTATTTTTTTTCCTCCTTCTTCCTGACTTCCGCCGACCTAGTCCAGGAATTGGTACAGCAATTGTGTTCAATAGAAACTAGTGGATTTTTGGTTTGGGCTCTTTTGTGGTCGTTGAGGGGGAAGTGACGGACGCGTCAGGGAAGGTGGGAGGACGGCAAAGGAAATTAAGAGCTCTTGGGAACTGAATTGTGGTAACGGAACGTTAGGGGGCTGGGTTGGAAATCGAGTAGGAAGGAAGAGAGGATGCTCCGTTGGGACATGTGACCAGAAATGAGGTGCTGCGGAGGCGCTGGCTTTAGGTGAAGACGTGGTGAGGAGTGGGTTTGGGGCCTGAGAAATCACAAGGCTGTTCCCTAGCCTCTCTCTTCACTTCTCTGGGTCTTCTCGGAGAAAGAAGGCTGAAGTGGGTAGGTTGGGGGCGGAAACTATCGGGATAGGTAGGCCGTACCTCTGCCTAGAATACATGCCATGTGGTGGACGCTGGTTGAGAGTCTCGTTTGGGAAGAGTCTGTCAGCTCTTGGAGAAGGGCAGGGTGAGAGCTGAGCGCCTGCCGGGGGCCAAACGAAACGATTGATATTATGATGGGCCTTAGTAGCTCTGGAAGTTTTTCCGAATCCCCTGTGATCCAGCAACCTTCACAGTATAGTGTTAAGAATTCCAAGTTCTGAAGTTAGACCTGCATTATAATCCTGGATTCACTAATTTTCAGTATGGCATTGGGAACGTGACTTAACCTCTTCTGCTCTTCTGGAAAATGGGAAGCATGCAAACTACTTTATACAGTGCATGCAGGCACATAGCAAAAACAGAAGTCTGTATTCGCTATGTCCGTTGATCTTTGTGTTTGAACCCCACTTTGCAGCACTTTTATTGTGACATAATATTGTATCATTTGTTTAATTCGTTTCTGATTACGAGGAGTTCCAGGAGCTCCTAGCCGCTCTATTCACTTTCTCCGAAGAAGAAGGCTGGGGTGGGTAGGTTGGGGGCGGAGACTATTAGGAAAAGGTAGCCTAGGTGTTTTTATCTTTTAGTGTGTTACCTGCCACATCCTATTTCTGTCAGCCTTTGTTTAAGACAGTAAATGAATGTATGAATGAGTCAAGGAAAAACATCTAAAAACGTGAATGTGTAAATTAAGAAGTGTAAGTGTAATATGAAGAAGTGTAGAGTGTAATATTATGACCGTTCGGAGGGAAAAAACCTCTGTCTGTACCTGTGTCTATATAGGTATGGGGTTTGCTGTTCCAAAGTGCATTCATGAAGAATGTGGATATAGGGATTGGGCAAAAGCTCTGGGACTAAAATTTGGAAGCAATACAATAGGAAGTGAAATACAGATCCAGGAGATGGATTTGGTACAGAAGGTTAAGGAGAAGTAGTTGTTTTGTTAGATTTGAGAAGAACTAAGGGAAAGAATTCTTCTCTGTATATACAGAAAATTACTTTTCCCACTAAAACACACCAAGTATATGTCCAGCCTTCATGAAAGTAAACAGAGAAACGAAGCGCCTTTATGTGGGTGGCCTTAGCCAGGACATTTCTGAGGCAGACCTACAAAATCAGTTCAGCAGATTTGGAGACGTTTCAGATGTGGACATCATCACACGGAAAGATGACCAAGGTAAATTTATGGTTCTTCACTGGGTAGTTAAAGGCAGACATAACTCAAGTTAAGTACTAGAAAATAAAACAACCCTAACATATATGTTAATTCTGAACAGCAAAAGTTTGAAATGATGTTTTGGAGGTATAATGTATGATGTGGAACTTGACCAGAATTCGTTTCTGAAATCAGAAAAAATTCTAAATTCTAAAACATCTGATTTCAGAAACATTAACTTTCAGTTTTCAGAGCTAACATACTAACATTGATTAAGTGTCCCGTTAAATAGAATATCACTGGCATACAATAAAAATGTTTCCTTAACTGACTACTGGACATTTTCTACTTCTTTGGGACTATTTTGTTAATCCTGTTTATTTTTGTATCCAATAAGACATAAGGTTTATCTTTGAAAGAATAAGTTTTCAAGAACCATTTTTTTTAGTTAATTATTATTTAGAAACAACTTTTTTTACATTGCTTTCTGAATAAGAATTCAAATAATTTTTTTTTTTTTTTTTTAGGAAACCCACAGAAAGTCTTTGCATATATCAACATTAGTGTAGCAGAAGCAGACCTGAAAAAATGTAAGGCCATCATATATTTTCTATACTATTTGCCAGTTTGTATCACTTTGTAACTAGGAATAACTTTGGTTGTAAATCTAAACCTCCACAGGCACTTTTAAGTTATCCAGAGGGACAGCTGTGATGGAGAGAATTCCAGTATCCTATAACTCAGCAGGTTTAGGTCCATCCCATTTAGCATCAGCAGACATGGTAGCACACTGCTAATGGGTTTACTTAAAATTGCTATTCTCAAATATTTTGGACAAGGGACCAAGCTTTCATAGAAACTGTCTGTTACATATATCCCACTGAATGTCGTGCCACATTCCCCCTTGGTCTGATCATTTCTTTGGCAGCTAATCCGTGTCACTAAACAGTCTTAAGGAGAGGGCTTTACAATACACCCTTGTAGGACCATAACCTTGAAATTGTGAAATCTGTTGATAAGTTTAGTAAAGCCAACGGCAAACAGTGGCCTTCAATGAAGAGCAAGAGATAATCCAAACTGCCACAGTAACGTATTCTAGTTATTTGGAGGCCAAAAAGTGAAAAAGACATGGAAAATAAGTAAAGGGAATGTGCTAATAGAGGAAGAGGGCAGTCAGTCTTTTGTAATTTCATTTGGAAAAAAATTGCTTTATTCTGTTTTTCATTTAGGAATATATGTGACAAATGTGAAGTTGTGGATAAGAATACATTAACTAGGCTTTGTAACCTGTGGCAATTTATTTAAAGTTTTCAGCTCCAGATTGCTTATGTGATGAATGACAAAAGATAGTGTTTGCCTTATATTTCTGTGGTAATTAAATTAAATGATATATTTGCCACACTTTGGGAGGCTAAGGCAGGTGGATCACTCAAGGTCAGAAATTTGGAGACCAGCCTGGCCAACATGGTGAAACCCCATCTTTACTAAAAATACAAAAATTAGCTGGGTGTGGTGGCAGGCATGAGTAATCCCAGCTACTTGGTAGGCTGAGGCAGGAGAATTGCTTGAACCCAGGACGCAGAGGTTGCAGTGAGCCAAGATCGTGCCACTCCACTCCAGCCTGGGCAACAGAGGGACACTCTCTCAAAAAAAAAAAAAAGATACATTTGTACTTAGTATATACCTACCACCTACAAAATTCTGTTAATGGTATTATTAAGGAAGCTGACAGCAGATATTCAGAGAAATCAATTTCTAGGGCATAGCAATTCAAACACAGTTCAGTTACTCACAGTTAATTCATCTACAAGTTCTACAGTGATAATTAGTATGAGGTGATAAAATAAGGTGCTGTAGGGTTCCAAAGTGTCCTCTGATTCACCTGAAAAGATTATTGTTTGATAATCACAATATAGGGAATAACAATAAAATATACATTAAATGTCAGTTATTCAGAGGTTCCTGACATTTGTTTATAAACAAATTGCAAATAAATTTTGCTTTACTTCTTACACATTTGCCTCATTTCAATCTAGTAACTCTGTGAAAGAGGGAGTGTAAAGACCCTTTTGGTAAGTCGTCAAGATGAGACAAGAGCCTAGGCTCCCTCTCTCCAGGTCTCATTTCTTTTCTTCCACTTCCCCTGGGTCTCTTTGTGATAAACCAGTCTGCTTTTTTTGATATTAAATAATTAGAAAAAGCACAAGTTGAAATATATTTTTGCATTGCCATGTACTTGAGTAACAATTCTTTACTTTATAGGTATGTCTGTTTTAAATAAAACAAAGTGGAAAGGTGGAACATTACAAATTCAACTAGCAAAAGAAAGCTTTTTGCACAGGTAAGTTTTGCTCCACTTGGATTTAAACACTTTTTTTTTTATATTGTAAGAGGTTTTATATATTCACTTATTTCAAATTTTCAAGTAATGTAGTATTCTTAACAAATTCAAATATTACAAGTAGAGCTGAAATCCCTGTCAACTCTGAATCCCCTTTACCCCAGACGCCAACAAAAAGGATAATTTGGTATATTTATGTATTATATAATAAGCTATAAAAGTATATATGTACTTATTTTCTCTTTGTTAACACACCCTTTTGTGGCAATATAGATCTCCTCCCTTTATAACAATTGTTAGTACTATTTCAGAAAATGGTTATACCACAGTGTAGCGGTCCCTTCCCACTGATGACTGTTGCTACTTTTTTATGGTCATAGATGATCCTGGAGCATGTATCCTGTGTATATTCAGGTGTTTCTCTGGGTTTATATCAAAAAATGGAGTTGCTGAATGTTAGCATTGTCTACATTTAAATTTTAATAGACTACTAAATTGCTTATGTTGATTTTGACTACTAATGCTAGTATCATACAAAAATATAAAGGAAATAGGAGATCACTATATGACAGGCATATGAGTGATTTTGCAGGTGATTTAAGAGCAAGACAATGTAAGGAACACATGGACACAGGGAGGGGAACATCACACACTGGGGCCTGTTGGAGGGGTGGCTAGGAGAGCGATAGCATTAGGAGAAATATCTAATGTAGATCACTGATTGATGGGTGCAGCACACCACCATGGCACATGTATACTTATGAAACAAACCTGTACATTCTGCACTTGTACCTCAGAACTTAAACTATATATATATGTAGAACAAGACAATGTTTTACAAAAACTATTAAAGCTTTTAAAATCCTAAAGGTAGGCCGGGCGTGGTGGCTCAAGCCTATAATCCCAGCACTTTGGGAGGCCGAGGCGGGTGGATCACGAGGTCAAGAGATCGAGACCATCCTAGTCAACATGGTGAAACCCCGTCTCTACTAAAAATACAAAACATTAGCTGGGCATGGTGGCGTGTGCCTGTAATCCCAGCTACTCAGGAGGCTGAGGCAGGAGAATTGCCTGAACCCAGGAGGCGGAGGTTGCGGTGAGCCGAGATCGCGCCATTGCACTCCAACCTGGGTAATGAGCGAAACTCTGTCTCAAAAAAATAAAATAAAATAAAAATAAAATAAAATCCTAAAGGTATTTTTAGGAAGG